CATTTCAAAATCTTAGTAGACCTCCAAACAAGGAAATTGCAGCCCACTCGGCTGGTCTCGAGCCTACATTGCTAAATTCGATGGTAGTGGAAACATGTATGAGGAAAGACGAGATGAAATCAAAACACACGACTACCAAAGAGGCTTGAGAGGGAACCTTCGGCATTTGCATGCCACAATATTGACGTCGATGGCAGAATGGTGTGCACTTGTCGTTGCGTCTAAATGCACACTATCTAATAATATTTATAACTAAGACTTACTAAAATACTAGTATAGAAGTAAGTCTCAGGTTGAACACAAGGAGATTGATTAATCCATTGAAAAAACTAATTTAATTTCTATATAAAATATTTTTCAATATTTTATTAATATGTAACAGAAATAATAAAATAAAAGGGTGAGGTGAGAAGAATAAAGGAAGGGAAGCAGGGAAAAGAAAAGAGGAAAAGAGAGAAAGAAGAGAGAAAGAAGAGAGCTCTCACAAGAGAGAGAAGGGATGAGATCTCTTGTGAAAGGGAGAGAAAGGGAGAGAGGAGGAGAGAGAGCTCTCATGAGAGAGAGAAAGGATGAGATCTCTCACGAAAGGGAGAAAAAGAGAGAGGAGGAGAGAAAGCTCTCACGAGAGAGAGAAGGGACAAGATCTCTCATGAAAGGGAGAGAAAGAGAGAGGAGGAGAGAAAGCTTTTATGAGAGAGAGAAGGGACAAGATCTCTCGTGAAAGGGAGAGAAAGAGAAGGAGATCGATTGAGAGAGAGGGAGAGAAAGGGAGAGATCTCACGAGAGATGGAGAGAGAAGAAAGGTCTCACAAGAGAGGGAGAGAGAGAAATAAGATGAAAAAATAAGAAAGAGAGAAATATAGTCAACCCATTTTCTCAGACGAATGTGTGCTCAAGGATTCACACACATGACATGAGGTCAGCTGTGAATATCTCCAGCTTGTTTTAATCGTTGAACACTTATTAATCAGCCTTTAATCTCAATGATTTCGTATTCAAAAATAGAAAAACTACTCATTATTTGCAGAATGCCAAGAATGTGAATATGTTGAGATTTGACGGCAAAAACTAATAGAAAATAAGTTGAAAATGATCTTAGCTTGATCTCAAACGAGTTTCAGAGGATCCAGAAGAAGAACAAAGATCATTCATCAAGCTTTGAATTAGTTCTACTCATTTCAATTGAAATGTGCATGAAACGAAAAGAACTTACCGTAAAATGTAAATAAATGACAAAAGTAGGTAAGTAAATGTTGAAAATAAGAAATAAATTATTGCCTAAGTTTAGTCTTCCTCCTAGACAATTGGAGACATCAGTGTGGCAGTTTGGTTTTGTCTAGATGTGTCACATCACGCTAGAAGTCGCAGAAGTATCGTTTGGAAGTGCTGCGTCACTTACTAGAGAGATCCGTTGAAAGAGGGCTTGACCACACAATCATTGTCGTCTGGGGGGAGAAGGGAAGAGTTGACCACTCGCCAAAGGCCTTGAGTGCAGTCGGAGGAGGAAGGAAGAAACTTGTTGATTGTCGGAGACGTCGATCGTGTAAAAGGAGGGAAGAATAGATTCCGATTTGCAATTACTGTTGGGATTTTAAAGATAATCGATAATGTCTATTTTACTAGACAATAATTAATTATTGTCTTTATATCCCTGATGGTGATATGTGTGAGAACTTAAGTTCCCGGTATTGTGGCGTTCCGCGAGCCACTATATTAGGTGAGCTTGGTCACGTGGCTCTCTGAACGACGTAAAATCAACCCGCCACGTCCGCTGCCGATGGGGAACTTGAGTTCCGGTACCGTGGTGCCTCCATAGCTGTTGGATTGGCCTTTAAGGCCACATGCGTGCTAAGCAGCGTCGGATTCGCGAGCCAATGATGGATTGCTTTACGCATCTGGTATTGTGACGGTTCACCAGCCACAGGATCAGGCTAATCAGATGACGTGGCTCTCTATGTACCACTGAATCACACTATGCTCCAGATGGGTGCACTGAAATAGATGAAAACGTTTAGTTCCACATCGGAAATATTTCGGAACATATGCCGAATATAAATTAAAGCTACATCTCTTAGTAGAGATCTCTTCTCTCGAAATAAAATAATGCCTAGGACCATCTTGAGAGAAGGTAAAAAGATGGTCCGCCCTCACACGCGCACGTGTGTATGGGTGCTCCTTGCCCCACGACCGGTTGGCCACTGGGATGTGGAAGGGGAGTGATGCACACGTGCACAGAGTGAGGCCTTTGCCACTCAAGCCCAGCTTGTGGCTCCCCCGGTCTGGGTCTACCCACTTGACCGCTGCCCCTCCTCTAGGTCAATTGCCGAGTGTCAACTTATTAGTAGGTGGAAGAATTTTTATATTTATTATTTTTATTTTAATAATAATAAAATATGCTAAGTATTCTAACTTCAGACTTTTAAAATTAACAATATATCCTATATTTATTCTACAAGTTAAAAATAAAATCAAATAATAAAACTAATTAAAACACATAAATCTAGCTTTAACATAGAGCATAAGAAGATGAGACTGTCGCGGATCCAACTATGTGATTAGTTGGCAGGGGGGGTTCAAGGGGGGAAGCCGCTGCCCCAAAACCTAAATTCAATGCTAGGTGGAGTAGGGCACGCAGGGTGTGCACAATCGACGTGTAAGGTAGAAGGTTGATGTCTAGGGCAAGTCGCAGTGGCACATCTGCTAGGCGCGGGACGTGCGAGCACTTGGGCAGGATGCACGGGACGTGTGAGTGCCCACAGTAGGCTCGTACGCGGTGCATTGCCGGTGCTCTGAGGGACGCTGATCAGCACATTGTTGGGCACACGAGTGTTGACGAAGAGACCCACTGGTGACAACAAAGAGGGTTGACCAGAAGGCAGGGGGGAGGGGAGGGGGATTAAATATATTTAAATATATTTAAAATAAAATATATTTAAAATAAAATATATTTAAAATTCACAAAAAAGGAAAATAAGGGTGCGGACATCAAGATAACGTCAGCATTTGATAAACGTGAATCGGACAAAAATAGAGTTTTATCTAGTGATTCTTACATAAGTGATTACAGATGATTTAAATGATCAAATTAAGATTAGTAAAAGCCCCAAGAATTATAATTGAACGAAGAATAACTTGGTAAATTTAATCACACAAATTATTACTAAATGAAGTAAAAATTAAATTAAAAGTAGAAAAATAGAGTTCTAGCGTCATGGTGATGATTCGTCGGCGATGCATCGAAATCTTGAGCGTTCAAGACGATTGTCATGTAGTGTCCACGGCCTAGAAGGCTCTCTTTGGACAAGGACAATGTGGGTAATTTCTAAATCTTCTTGCACGTCTAGAGATAAATGAAATGGACATTGAATCATCTACGACAGCTGTCACTTGACAGAGCAGAAAAACAATGAATTTGCGACTCATGACGGCTGTCACCCGACGAAGAGGAGCTGGATGGAGGTGGGCGTGTGTCAGAGAGCTTTATCCTCAAGTCCGCGCAACAAGAAGAGGCTCTTCATTGCATCCGATACACTCTTAGGAGGTGGCGACTCGTTTCTCGACAGATTGTCCTCTTCTTGATGACTACTTGTTCATCGATTAATCGGAGATGATTTACTTGATGGATTCGTGATCCTTTTATTGCAAATCGTTCAATAATTTTAATAATAATACTCTGTGAATCGCATTGACGAGATTTTCGCCGATGATCAAGCGATTCTAGTAGCTTCACTAATGATCTACAAGAAAGTCACGATTTAATCAAATAAAAATATGAGTTTTAGCTTTAGTAAGATTTGAACCTGCATTGATCCTCCGCCTGCATGAGAGAGGGAATAAGTTCTCAAATACCCTTATTTAGTGATGTCATCATGACATCTCGTTGTTATCAATAAGAGATTTTTTTGGTATGAAAATCTTCTAAAGATTTTGGGGAAGATGGTTTAGTCCCACATCGGTTATATGCCTAATGTGGAGATGCATATATGATAACGTGAGATTTGGGAATAAGTGAGTTACTTTCTGATGTGTATGACCACTTCTTGCCCCACAACTAACTACCCACTAGTGACGTGGAAGGGGAGTGATGCACATGCACCCTCTGGTCTATAGCCACTCGAGCTCATACTCTCGCCTCCATCCCGACTGCGCTTCAGACCTGCTTGTGGGCCCGACTAGCTGGCAGGTCCCCCCTTTTTCTATTTTTTTATTTTCTTTTTCTTTATTTTTCTCAAAAATAGGATTATAAAAATCATATAAATTTATATAAAATCACATAATTAGCCAAAAAATCACATTAACCAACTAAAAATCACTTTTCACAAATGAACATAAATATAAGTCTATTTATCATGAGTTAAGGCTAAAACTCTATTATTTATTAATTATTAATATATGATAATGAAGACTTATCAGGGACCCAAGCGACAACGGGGGCTACGAGCAGCGATCACATAGATCCCTTATGGCATGATCTCTCGCATAAGAAAAGTCTTTTGAAGATCAAAGCCATCATTTAATAGAAATCGTAAGCCTATTTATAAGCCTTGGGAGGAGAGAGAAAATTACAACCTAAAGTAAATAGAAGGAAATCAACTATGAGTAAATCCTAATAAAAATAGAAGTTGGGATCCAGAGCTCGGATCTGCCGGCAGTGATGTGGAGTGACCTTGATAACTTGCGGGGTCTCTGGAGGAGGTGACATAGAGTCCAATGATGTCATGGTCACCGATGGTGGAGCTAGGGACCATGCCCCACCGTGAAAATCTTGTCATCTTCAGGATTCTTGATAGCTTGATGATTTCTCTTCTATTATTGTCATCTTGTGTTTACATATTTATCTCTACAATGGGTGTACTCACTTCAAAGTACATGTATAAGCAACACTTGTTCTGCTGACTAACTCGGTACAGATGTGCGGGCACGGTACACTACAAATGGAATTCCCCCACCCCTTTGACAAAACTCATGCCTTCTTGTGGGGAGGTGTCCTACACTGGCTTTTAGATGGTCTGCACAGCTTGGAACATCTCGACCATGAGCTCGCCGTCGACGTCGCAGAAGAACTCGTGAGTCCCTTCACCGACGTCGTAGACTTTGCAGCACTCCTTAAGGTGGTCGAGCTTCTTCAGGCGGTCGAGCTTGTAGATCCAATAATCGCGAAGCCTTTGTAGCATGTTGCCGGAGGTGAGGTCCTCCAAAAGGCTCTCCTCGCAGCACTCCTTGAGGCCGGCGAGGTCGTATTTCTCGGCGGCCGTGAGCAGCGCCATGCGGTACTTCCAGAAGACCTCGATCAGTAGAGGCGGTTCAAGAGGCAGTTCAAGAGGGCGCCGCAGGTCTCGCGGGACATGTACTTGATCTCGATGGGTGATTTCTCCTGGTGGTCGTACAGCAACATGCTATGGAAGACGAGTGAGTTCGCCTCCAGAACGGCCTTGTGAGCGCGCAGTGTGCCCCCGGCCGTGTTCATTGTGACGTCCGAGTGGATGTCCTCTTCCAGCGTGTGAGAGAGGCACGGACGGGATAACTTATTCTCCAGATACTGCATCGACACCTCGTAGGCCCAACCTGAAGACGCCTCCTTGCTCTGGTTCTCCGACAAGAAAAAGGAGAAGAGCAGCAGATGACGATTAGTGACAGATTTCACGCCTTTAAGAAAAGATACCTGCGGAAATCTGAGAAGGAAAATATCTCGGGGTAGCTTGTGCATTGACAGGGGGAGATCTTGAAATCTAAGAACTCCACGACGACTCTGAAAGTATCGTTGAAGGTTGAATCCATTGGACAGATAAAGTCATCATCGGTCTGCAGCAGCTTCTTATGCACTACAACGAAAAAAAAAGTGCCGCATTAGAGGTCAGCAGTTTAGGTCCATCGTTGTACAATAATCTACATAAACAATGCAATCCCCCCCTCCCTCTTGGAGAGAACAAAGCAAAGTCACAGACACACCAAAGTTGTGTGTTCCGTTTAAGTAATTCTACAGAATGAAAAAGAAATAGAGAGAGAAAAGCGAGGAAGATGTATCTACTATACCAGAACTGGTGAGAATTCTCCATGAAAGACAGGTCTCGAACACGGGCAGAGGAGACACCGAGGGAGGGAGGGGGGGAGAGGGGGGGGTGTGTGTGTATGTGTGTGTGTATGTGTGTCTGTGCGTGCGTGCGTGCGTGCGTGCGTGCGTGCGTGCGTGCGTGTGTGTGTGTGTGTGTGTGTGTGTGTGTGTGTGTGAGATGGTGATCCATTCAGTTACTTCCATCACATGCCAAATCCAAGACAATACAGATGAACCAATTTCATAAACGAAGCATAGATATGTTCGGCCTACAGAAAAACCTCGCCACTTTAGTCTGATAAAAACAATTAGAAGGAATATTTCAATTCCCTTATAGTGAAGCTCTATCATGCGATCATATAGATACTAAAACTGACGTTTTTCGAAGGGTGTGCCGAAGGAGATGTCAGCAACTATGAAGAGCCAACGATTTAATACAACTTGATTCTTCTGCATGGAATTAACTAGAAAATGATGCTACCCAGCAAAAACGCTGTAAAATATATGGTCCAACTCATATGTTAAAAAGAATTATGGTACCTTAGTGCAAATATAACAGAGCTGATTCCGAAGAACGGGCGAAAATTATCTTATTAAATGGACAAAATAGCATACTAGATGACGCGAAAGTTAGGAGAAGAATACAAATTCGTTTAGAATTTATTATTTTATATTACAAGAACAAGATCTTTCACAGTACAGCTCGACATAGGCATACATGGAGGACTAATCCAGGGTTTGTTCTCTATTATTCATAACAATTCTTTGATGTGAGATGATTAGTTTTTTCGGTCGACAGCTTTTTACAATCTCATAAGATACCTATTCTACCCAAGAGAAAAATTAGGTTTTTTTAAACACAGGTATTATCCGAGGCGAGGACAATCGATGAGTTCTTTGTTGTGTGTTATTATATCACATTTGTATCTTACCTTCATCGAATGTTCAGTGATCTTAACTTCATGTTTTGCCTCCATCACCAAATTATTCGATGATTCGAGTTTATCATTCACCCCACCTAGTCTCACGATAACAACGGGAAAGATAACAATGAGATTTAACCTCAAAGAAATCATCTTACGCTGAGTATCGAAAGAGAAAGTCATTCAAACAAATATGTCCACTTGATAAACTAGGCCTCCGCAGAAAAAGAGCCGTGGAGCTTAAGATATAAGTGGAGTTGGCCTGACATCAGCATCTCGATATGGGGCAGTCTTATGTGCAGGATGTCCAATGGTAAATGCTCCTAACGTGCCAAATCCATTTTGACCACAAAACTATGCCAACGCGAGGGAAAGAGAAGAAGAAAACATGTCCTGTGAAGAGCATGAGGGACTCAGCCTACTGTTCTATTTAAACATCTAGTTGAACCGGCCGACGAGAAACAATATTCATCTGGACATTACCAGGGGACCCGGTTGGGCGTCGGCCTCGCTCGAAGTTGTAGACGCGAAGCTCGATCCTGGCAATGGGGGGATGCTTCGGCGGGCACAGCTTAATGTAGCTATCACCAGCTTTCTTGTACAGAGTCAGGTACCTGATAGAAAAAACACACAAAAAACTAACCGCTATGGAACCTCATCGATTAAGTGCGTTTCCACGGGAGAGGAGGGTTATCTGCCTCACCAATCCCACTTGTCGACCTTGAAGACGTTGGAGTAGTAACGGGGTGACTCGTAGTAGTTCCTACGCGGTAAGTTATCCAGAGTCCACTGTACCAGCCGCGATATGGTCTCCAACTTGCCGTTCGGCGATCCGTGAACATCGAACCCGCTGCGGTCCATCTCGATGATCACCTCTACCCGTGGGATATCGTAGCGTCTACTCAAGTCCGAAATCGTAGAGCGCCTTGTGTTGTGTTCGGCTATCATATAGCTAGCAGCCTTGGATTCTTCACGCACGTCGTGCTCTGCCGATTGCATGTAGCCGCATGGACCACGGACAGGTCGTATCCTGAACTCAAATCCGAGGTCGTAGAGCGTCGTGTTGTATAATGCCATCATGCCGCCCCCAGCGTTGAAGACTCCATATTCATCGTGTTACGCCGATGCCATGCCAATTGCCACATGGGCTACGGGCGAGGTCGTAATGTCAACTCGAATCCATGGTCGTAGAGCGTCATGCTGTGTCGTGGATCACCCAACCATTAGACTCTCCGCACCAGACGTGTTATGTCAATGCCATGCGATAGCCGCATGGGCTATGGACCATGTCGTATTGTCTACTCAAATCTGGGGTCGCAGATCGTCTTGTGTGGTGTCATGCTACGATACAGCTAGCAAACAATTTTGTCTTCTCCATATTACCATATCCCTAGAGTCAATAATTTTCTATGAGGAACTACTGAACTCAATCACTTGCTGCCGTTACTCAACAGTTTTCTGCGTTGGGCTCTCCACATCCGTCATGTAATTCTGATGCCATGCCGATAGCCTCATGGGGTACGTGTGGGGTTGTATTGTCAATTCAAATACAAGCTCGTAGATCGTCTTGTCTTGTGTCGTGCATCATGCAACCACCAGCCTTGGACTCTCCACTCACGTCATGTTATGCTAATGCCATGCCATATCCGGATAGGCTATGTGCGATGTCATATTGTCAACTCAAATCCAAGGTTATAGAGAGTCCTGTTGTGTCGTGCCGTCATGCGGCGGCGTAGCGGCGTAGCCATGAGTTCCTAGAGCTGTCCTGACAACCGCAGACAAACGACATGCGGCGACATATCTTTTGAGCATGATGGTAAGTGAGATGAGACGAAACGACGCACAGCAATGGCTAAGAAGAGACAGAAACCCAGGACGTCGTTCTCATTATCAATTGAGCAGCTCAATAGCAATCACCATTTCAGAAGTCACCAAGAGAAGAATCAAAGGACCCCCACTGCACTGGGAAAAACCAGGGATTGCCCACGAACACAACCTTCAAGAGGAAGACAAAAGAGCGGGCACCGAACACTATAATCTGTGGTTTCTGCCTCTGAATAAAAACTTAACTGGTGCCGTGCAAGGTCGCCTACACGGGCCTCCAGCCGGCCAACATCGACGGGAACAGCTCGATCATCTGCGTGTGGTTGGTATGGCGGAAGAAGCCATTGATGTCGTCCCTGACATCGTATATCTTGCCGAAGTCGAAGAGGAAGCTGAGGTAGCCCTTCTTCAGCCGGTCGAGCCGGTCGAGCCGGTAGAGCCAAGCCTTCCGGAGCCTCTCGAGCACGTTGCCGGAGCTGGGCCTCAGCGACGGACCGGGCCGAAAAAGTGGCCTGGTTTAGGGAGAAGAGGAGAGTTTGAACGTTGGCGGGATGGGCCCTGGCGGGAAATTTTTATTTTTTGCTATAACACATATGGAGAAACAATGCATAGGACAATAAAATACATAAAATGAAACTAAGAAAAGAACAATAATGCAGGAAAGACATGCCCAATGAGATTGAAACCACCATTGCCTAATTAGAAGTCAGATGCCTACATTAAACCAACTACTCATTTAAGCATACCAATCTTTATTTCAGTGATATAATTATGTAATATTAATTTTTAATTTGGTATGTGAAGCAAATATGCACACCTTGACGGCACATGTAACGAGAGATCAAAGAAGATGAGCGAATTTCACTGCATAGCACCGGACTCTAGAGTCTTGATCGATGTCCAAGTGGTCCATGTTCTGCTGACCTGTTTAGGGTGTGTGCGTGCAGGGGAAGGATTGGGGGAAGTCAAAGGGGTGGGTCACTGTACACTAAAAACGGTTACTCCTACCCACGTGCGGGCACTGTAGAGTATAAACAAGTTCCCCCTACCCTGCTGACAAAAATAACCGGTGTCGTATGAGGACGTACCCTGCACAGGATTTCAGACGGTCAGCGCCGCCTGGAAGATCTCGACCATGAGTTCACAACATTGGCATCGCGGAAGAACTCGTCAATGCCTTCACCGATGTCTTGGAGAGCCTCTCGAGCACGTTGCCAGAGGTGAGGGCCTCCAGGAGGCTTTCCTCACAGCACTCCTTAAGGTCGCCGAGGTCGTACTTCTTGGTGTCCGCGAGCAGCGCCACACGGTGCTTCGAGAAGACCTCCTGCCGGACTACGCTGTAGAGGTAGTTCAAAAGGGCCCCGCAGGCTTCCAAGGACATGTCCTCGATCTCACTGAGAACTTCTCCTCCCGGTCGTCGTCCAGCAACATTCTCTTCAAGACAGGTGAGCTTGCCGTCAGGACGGCCTTGTGTGCGCGCAACGTGCCGCCACCCCCTGTTCATGGTGATGTACGGGTGGATATCCTCTTCCAGAATGTGAGAGGCACAGGTGTGTGGACTCTGTCGCCACAGACTGCATCGACTGCGAAGTGCCAAATCGAAGATGGCTCTCGGCCTTGGTTCTATGGGAAGACGAAGAAAGAAAGGAGCAGCAGAAGATGATTAGTGACTGATGATCATACTTCAATACTAAACACTGGGGGAAGTTATTAGAATATATATACATCTGTAGACTGATAGAGATAAAAGCCCAATATGGACTTAGCGTGGAAGTTAGAAGACAAAAATAAAATGAACAACTCACAACCGAAGACACAAGAATTTACGTGGTTCGGAGGTTGGCCTCCTACATCTACAGGTAACCATGAAAAGCTCCACTATATGTAGTAACCTAGAATACAGATCTCTAATCTTGGCCCTCAAAGAATTCACTAGTCCCTCACCAACAAGTAGAGATCTCTCCATTGGAAACCCTCTCCCACTCTCTTCGGTACTCTATTTATAGACCTAGTCAATGGTCAATAGTCCACGTCTGGCCTTGGTTCCTCACTAGTCAATGGTGTTACAAGGTGAGAGGAGGTGGCCTCTATTTATAGACCTCCTTGAGCTGCCTCGAGAAACATGCCAACCGTTTCCTCCTTGAAGCTGAAACAGTTTGGCTGAGCCATTTTTTCCATCTGGCTTGGCTTGCCCATAATTGGGCCATCGAGGAGCATGAGAAGCCGTCCATGTTCGGCCTGTTTCACAGGTCTCATCTTCTCTCTCTCTCTCTCTCCTCTACATTAAATGTGATTCATCTCCGCTGCCCTATGAGCTGACATGGACGTGGCCACTTTATGAGGTACATGCCCAACAACCTCCCCCTTCAATTTATGAGAGAGATTGTTTTCATAATTCTCAAGGAGCATGCATTTAGATCAACTGTCGTCAAATCTCTTACCTCTCTTTAGGTAGAGTCTTCGTCAACATATCTGCTCTATCTTCATATCTGTGAATCTTCTTGCTCTGTGATTGTTTCTCTTCAATTACATTTTTGATTCAATGGTAAACATATCGATATGCTTCAACTTCGAAGGAAATGTAGGATTCTTGCTCAAATGAATAACACTTTGACTATCACAAAAGACCGCATATTCCTCTTACATTAATCTTTATTCTAGTGAGAATTTCTTCATCCATAGTATTTCCTTACAAACTTCTGTGATAGTAAGATATTCAGCCTATGTAGTTGACAAAGTAACACATTTTACAACCTAGACTTTCATGTCACAGTTCCCCCTACAAGAGTAACTACATAACCTAAAGTAGACTTCCATGTGTCAATATCTCTTGCCATATCATCATCTGTATATCCTGTCAATATAGGGGCACCCTCTCCAAAGCTTAGACAAACTTTAGAGCTCCATTTAAGATATCCAAATACCACTTCATTGCTGCCTAGTGCTCCTTGAATTTATAAGAAATCTGCTAGCAACACCCACTGCATATGTGATGTCTGGTCTTGTACATAATATTGTATACATCAAACTCCCAATAGCTGAAGTATAAGGTACTCTCTTCATCTTCTCCTTTTCATCTTCACTTGACGGACTTTGTTCTACACAAAGTTTAAAGTGATTTGTTAAAGGAGAATAAATAGGTTTTGCATAGCTCATATCAAACTTATCCAACACCTTCTCTATATATTTTTCTTGTGACAAACAAATCTTCTTGGTCTCCCTATCATGAAAAATCTGCATACCAAGTATCTGTTTTGCTGGTCTCATGTCCTTCATAGCAAATGACTTGTTCAGCTCCTTCTTCAACCTGTTAATTGTTGACAAATCTTTTTCAAATGATTTGTTCAGTATCTTGATGTATGCATAATGGTTTGTAGAAGTATATTTGTATCTATTTTCAGTCATAAATAAATCAAACTTTTTGTACCACTATCTTGATGCTTGTTTTAGTCCATACAAGCTCTTCTTCAATTTGCACACTAGATGCTCTTTTACTTCTATCTTGAAGCCTTCTAGTTACTCAATGTAAATCTCTTCCTCCAAATCACCATGAAGGAATATTGTCTTTATATCTAACTGCTCAACCTCCAAATCTATACAAACAGTCATACCTAGAGCAACATGCGTTGAAGACATTTTCACAGCAAGAGAGAAAATTTCATCGAAATCAATACCTTGTACTTGATTGAAGCTTTGATAACCAATCTGGCCTTGTACTTTGGCAATTAAGTATGTTCTTGAGTCTTCATCTTGAAAACCCACTTATTCTTCAATATTTTCTTCCCCTTATGTAGCTCCACAAGATCATATATTTGATTTTTCTATAGTGCTTCTAGTTCTTCATGCATAGCTACATAATATACTCATTTTGTGGATACCTTTGTGAAGGTTGGTGCTGTTTACTAGGCCTTCTAAGATGAGTCTCAGTTGGAGGTAACTCTCCTCCTTGCACCTCTTCCTATCTCATAGATAAATCTGCATCATCTTCAGCCCTTTCTTCTTGCAATTCTCCTCGTCCATCATGGTGCTCATGATGG